TTAAAAATTCAAGAAAATTTCTCAGAACTGAAGTACATAAGTTGGCAAATAGAAAGGCTAAGTCCCCAGCCCAAAAGTTGAAAATATACCAGGGAACAACATTTATGAAATTTCAGGACACAGGAGACTAAGAGACAATTGTAGGAGCTTCTAGAGTAAAAAAAAAATTATAGTAATTTCATCCAAAGGGCCAGGAATCAGAATGACATTAGATTTCTCGATATCAATACTGAAAGCTAGAAGGTTAGAGCAATTGTGCTAAAATTCTGAAAGAAAATAATTTCCATTCTAGTATTTGGCACCCAGACTATCAGTAAAATTGAAGAGATAAAAAAATACATTTTCAGACATGCAGGGTCTTAGGAAGCCTGCTCCCCCCATCTCTTACGCACTCTTCCTCAGAAACCTACTGGAGGATGATCTTCAAAATAAAAGGGTAAAACAAGGAGGAAGACATTGATCAAGTAAATCCCAGTCTCCTGTGATTTTTCATTGCCACCAGAATAAATCAGGTCCACATTCCTTGGAGTCTAGGCTGTAATGTGCATACTAATCATGCAGAATATTGTTGAAATGCAGCTTTTGGTTCAGTAGGTCTGGAGTAGAGCCTGAAAATCTGCATTTCTGATCAGCTTCCAGTTGCTGCTGCTGAGCTGCGGATCCTACTTTGAATTGCAAGGGACTACTAAAGCAGCCTAACTGGTTTCTTCTCCAGCCATGCCACTCTTTGACCCCCTTTCTCCATCTACTAGAACAATCTTCCTTAAGACAAGGCTTTGATTATGGTTTGACATTTTATCTCTATGTCCTGCACTGAAATGAAGTGACTGCCCAGTACTACTTTCTGCTACATTAATTTTTGTTTCAAGTGTGTCTAGTCTAAAATTCCTCAACATAATGAGTTTTTTAAATGCTAGTAACTTCATGTTCAAGATTTCTAATTGATTCTTCTATATCCATTGGTGTTTGTTTCATTTCTGCATACTTTTATTTCTAAATTCTTATTGTTTAAAAAATTTGTCATTTTTAATTGCATCTGGAGGGAATTATTTTTTCATTGTTATATTTGTATGTTGTCTATCTTAGTATTATATCTCTTCCAATGTTTTGAAATTTTGGTTTCCAAACTAATCTTGAGTGAGAGAGCTCTCTCTCACTTCCCGTGTGTGTGTGTGTGTGTGTGTGTGTGTGTTTGCTTATATTTCCCACAGTAGCAGTGGTAGTGGTATATTACAATCATCTTGCTTGGCTCTGTTCTTTTAGCAAGGTTGTATACCCAGAAAGGCAACAAATTCTTTCAATCTCTATTTACAAGTGAGGAGGATGGTTAAAGCAATGAGGCTTGGTTGAGCTATCTATTGCTGTGTAACAAAACACCCTAAAACTTGGTGTCTTGAGACAATGATTTATTATTTCTCATAATTCTGTGGGTTGACCAGGATCAGCTAGGCGGTTCTTTTGTTCCATATAGTATAGACTGAAGTCACTCCAGTAGTACTCATATTAAGTTGGGAACCCATCTACTATTGGAATGCCCCAGATGACCTCTCATTCTTCAGGACCTCTCTCCATGTGACTTGCCAACATTCTATATCTTGCCTGAATTTCTTCACAGCATGACCATTGGCTTTCAAGAGGAAAGGTTCCAACAGGACATGCTCCAGTCCATGAATACTTATTAAGCATCTGTGGCATCTTGTTTACTGACATCTCATTGGCCAAGCAAGTCATGCAGCCAAACCCAGAGTCAACGTAGGAGGGAATTAGACATTGGTTGCCAATACTAGAAAGTGGTTTATTGAAGGCCACCAATGTCACAGTCTCTCATAAAGCTGCTTCCCGTCTCTAGCCACACTCGGAGCCCTGTTAGTCTCTATTATTTGACAGAGGCTGAACCCTGGTTCATGTCTTCCTACCGCCACATACAAAGTCCAGGACCTATGTGGCTTTGGTCCTGATCACTATTTTGCATTTTGATTCTGTTTCTGACACATAGAAATGTTTATTTTATTTTTGTTTAAATTATAGCTATAAACTTCAATTTTCCCATTTATATTATATCTCTTATTTTTCTAGTTGAAGCAGAATGAGGAATGAGGAGTCTCAAAATATTAATTGAAAATGTGATCTTGGCTGGATGTCTGGCTCACCATCAAGTCCATTTTCCTTAGTAAGATCCTTTACCAGTTTGCTCCAGCCTTCACTGAAAATGCCATTCTTATCCTGTATGTACTCTTTCCCATTCTTTTTCTCTGTGTAATTACACAACAGTGTTCACTGGACAGTCAGCACCTGTCTCTGTACCTTGTTCACATTGTTCTCGGAATGATCTTGCTACCAAGAGTTGCGTGGACACCCTCTGCTTATTCTTTCGGCTAAATCCTGGCAACCAGAAACACTCTTTCCCTTTGAACTTCCAGTATTTTTCTTGTATTTCTCTTATAGCACTTATCATTTCCTATCTTTTATCACAGATATTTACCTATGCTATGACTACATCTTAGTTCCTTGGGAGTAAAGCTCATGCCAGATTTTCTATGTATTGTGCCTTACACACAGATATCAGACTCTCAAGACATATTTGTTGTCTTCCAACTCCAAAATTATCCAAGGGAGCTAATTTACATATGAATTTGCAAAGAGCTGATTTCAAGGGAAGATGATATCCACATTTATATCTTCTCCATCTTAGGTCATCAATACTACAACTGGAACCAATTGCTTGCATGCTTTAAATGTAATAAGAATATAGTACATGTATGTATTTTAGTCTAATATTAGTGGTTTCTAAGAAAATTCTCTCAAGGCATATATTGAAGTCACATATTTAGGCAGGACACTATAATTAGAATCATCCCAAGATTTATATCTTAATCCTGCTACTACAACTTTGACTTTTAGAAAATAGTCTTAAATAGAGAACTTTGCTTAATATTTAACTGACTATAAAGGAAGTCGTGTACACATGTGAGATTGTGAACCCTTGAGAAAGTCATGATTTATTTACATTTTAATGCTCAGTGCCTGGGACAGAAGCTGGAGCATGAACTTTCAATGTTTTCAGATTTTGTTGGAACAGCCTGCAGGCTCTTCAACTGCCTTCCCCACAGAGACTCAGCAACAGTGTGCCTCTATAAATATCTATTTATGAAGGTCAGCCTAGTCTATATTTGAAACACAAAGAACCTTTTAAGAAAAGTGGATTTCCTTTTACTGTTGGTAAAATGTATAGGAAAAGCAAGGAAAGATAAAAAGCTGTTAAAACACAGGGACTATTTTTAACATTCTTTGTATTCCCCAAAAGGCCTTTCACAAAGCAGACATTCAGTAAATGCCTGATAATAAAGATAGGAAATATGTGTTCTATTTTGAAAAAATATCACTCTTTTGAAGAAGTATTAGTATCAGGATCTTACAGGATTCATAGTAGAATTTCAAATGTGTATTGTGATCAGAACTATGGCAGGGGCAAATTAGGGGCTCAATAAATGAGGCTTAACCCTCATGTATACCTTCCAGGATTTCTATCTCCACTCTTTGCCTTAAAATCTATTAGAAAATGAAAAGAAGACCAAAGCAATGCTGCACCTATCTGGTAGTGTTGCTGTTATCTGTGAAACCAACTACAAATTATTAAGCTTAAATTCTTCCATTTGCATCATCATTATTCTCTGATGTTTCATCAATATTAACACAGGACAGAGTATCTATTGCTACTTGAGCCTTACTAATTAAAGTTAACTCATTAATACACTTCAAATTCCACAACGAAAATGCTCTTTGAATGATGTTATTGCACTGTAATTTTTCTAAGGTACATGCCATGAAATACTTTCAATACATTTTATTGGGTATCTAATATGTGTCAGGGAGTATGCTGGCATTGAGTATAAGAAGTTCGCTTACATTAACTAAAACTTATTCAATACTCATTACCAAGAACAGACCCTGCATCAGCTTACTATCTAGTAGAGAAGGAAGACATTTAATAAGCAAATACAATTGCCAGTTTTCAGAAAGAAGTCCATATGAGATCCCAAGAAGACAAAAGTCATCAAGGATCAAGGTAAGGAGGAAGGCAGACTGCAGTCAGGCAAATGACTTGAATATTACTTGATAAATGCTATACCAACATATGGCCAAAGTACTATCAAAATACAATAGTGGGAGTATTTCATTCTCTTTGGAGGTTTGGGGAGGACATCAGAAAGGAGGTGAAATTTTCAGGGACGAATAAACTTACTCCAGGCTAATGGTACTCAGAAAGGAATTTGTTCTCAAAAGTGCACGCACGGCATCGCCGAGGGACTCCAAGTACCGAGTGTGAGAGATGGATAATCATCAGACTCATAGATTCTTTAGCTCCCATGCCAAGCACCACAAGCTAGTTGAACCAGACAGAGTGGGACTTGATATTTCAGATCGGACCTCAGATCCCCCCGCCCCCCACTAGACTGTAGGGTTGCCAGATAAAATCTGAGACGTTTAGTTAAATTGGAACTTCAGATAAACGATGAATAATTTAGTGAACTCCCCAATATTTGAGGCATACTTTAGAAACTATTTGTTGTTTATCTGAAATTCAAAATTCATATTTTTATTTGCTTTAACTTTTTATTTGTGTATTTTTATTTGCCACATCTGGCAACCCTATCAGAATGGCAAGAACCGGCACGGTTATGCTGTGGCACAAACGATCACAAACAAAACGCCACTCTGACCCTGGCTTACTGTAGCCTTCTCACTCCAAATCTCTCCAATCGAAAGCAATCACGGAGGGAACAGGCCTCCAGAAAAGAGACGCTGTCACCATGCAACCAGAAAACCCACCCAGCAGACTGCAGCGTCCAGGAGACTAAGACTGGCGCAAGCGCGCACTGACGTTGCAGCCCACGTTTAAAGGGCGGGGACGACTGAGCGCCCCTCTTAGACGTGACCCCAGCGCCTCTTTGTGATTGGCTGGTTCGGGGGCGCGGCGCTCGGGCGCGGCCGCCTCAGATTGGTACTTCGGGGCGGTGGGGCGGGACTCCAGCTGCAGCCGCGGGAGGTCCGGACACAGGCGGCCATGGGACTCGCCGGTAAGTGCGCGCCTGGCCTCTCTTCTTCCGCACTCTCGGCCGCTTCCGGATATGGCTGTTCTGTTCCCGTAGGAGCGTGGCGGGCGAGGGAGGGGTGAAGCCGACCCGGGTCAAAGCCCGGAAGTCAGGTTGGAGGGTCTTCGGAGTACAGCGGGGTGGAGGGTGCGTTGAGGGCGGCCGTGCTGGAGCCGGTTCCGCTGGTGGGGCGAGGGACTGGAGGCTCCGGGACCCCGGGCCTCAGACACCTGCCCACTTTGTTGCTGTTTTCCTGCTCTCTTTGGGCCTCGCAGGACCCTGCTTGACCTCCGTGGGGTCACCGACTGGACGGGGGCATCCCCTCCTTGGCCCTATAGTTCCCCAGCTTCCTGTCAGGGAGTGAAGCTCGGGCAGTGCCCAGGGGCTCAGTGGAAGTACCATCTTCTTGACCCTGTAACCCCTGCTTGGTCATCCTAAGGCTCTTCAGAAGCCTCTACTGCTAATAACTGCTCCGGGCTCATTGGCCATGGTCGAGAATTTTCTGGTCATGTTGTGCTTGCCACTTAAAGTGGCTGGGTGGGGTCCTTGTACAATTCACTCAACTTGTCTGGCATTTCATTTGTAAAGTGAGGTATTCACTAGATCTCCAAGCTCTTCAGTTTTGAAATCCAAGATTCTGTGATTGTGTGGTATATTGAGCTTTTACACAATAAAGATGTTAGGAGTGATAAACTGGTAGAAGTGGGCAGACTCATCACAGAACATTGCAGGTTAATGACAAAATTTTAAATGATTTCATTTGGTTCATTGCTCACTGTTTCCATTATCATTCATCTTTTAAGACTGTATAGAACTGGAAGTTCGTGTTTAGGTGACACCACAGTAAGAAAATGTTAGTTAAGTCATCTAAAAGTACAAACTTGAGAAATTTCCATATTTGGCAATATTGAATCTTAATTACGAAATTCAGTTCAGTAGACTCTTATGGAGTCTTTCTGAGAATATATTTAAAACGTAGGCCGGGTGCGGTGGTTCACTCCTGTAATCCTAGCACTCTGGGAGGCAGAGGCGGGTGGATCGTTTGAGCTCAGGAGTTTGAGACCAGCCTGAGCATGAGCAATACCCTGTCTCTACTAAAAAATAGAAAAAATTAGCCGGGCATGGTGATGCATGCCTGTAGTCCCAGCTACTTGGGAGGCTGAGGCAGGAGGGTTGCTTGAGCCCAGGAGTTTGAGGTTGCTGTGAGCTAGGCTGACACCACTCTAACCCAGGCAACAGAGTGAGACACTGTAATAAAAAAATAAAAATAATAATAAAATGTAGATGAATTTATTGGAGAGAGTAGATACTTAAGACTTTGCACACACAGTTAAATTGCATTTTCTGAGTTTAGAGGTGAAATCTGAAACTCAGAGCTTTAGGATGGCTTCCCATTGTATAGTTGAGTTTCTGGAGCCTTGGAGAGCTCATTTGTAAAGCTAAGGGAGATTTTCACTAGATCTCCAAGACACTTTTTAGCTTTAGAAGTCTAAGACTCCATAATAGTACTACATATTGAGTGGGCATTTCATCCTGATATGGCTTTAGAGGACCCCTGAGATAAACATTTCCTACTTTAGATGTAGAAAGTGGCCTCAGATACAGCCTGTCTCTAGTTTAGCTTTTTAGACTCCACGCTGAAGGGAGGAGCACTCATGGAAGAAAGGCTACATAACTGAAAGAAAGGTTAAGAAAAAGGTGAAGGAAGCAGTTAAGATTATTGCTGTCTTTGAATATGGAAGGAGAAAATGTGGATTGTCCACAGCATGTGCTCTGGGTATCATTTGAAAAATGTGCTCTCAAAAAGTTCCAGCTCCAGGTATATTTATATTTTAGATTAAACCATAAAGCTAATACTAGGGGAACTTTATGAGATTAATTGAATCAATGGCTAAGCTCTAGAGCAGGGGTCCTCAAACTTTTTAAACAGGGGGCCAGTTCACTGTCCCTCAGACCATTGGAGAGTGCGCACTGTGGGCCCCGGACGAGTTAGCTGCTAAGCAGGATAGGCAGCGGTGGCAAAAACACCCAGAGGGCCGGATAAATGTGCTAGACAGCCCGCATGTAGTTTGAGGACCTGCTCTAGAGCAAGGGGTTGGGCAATTCTATGTAAAGGGCCAGATGGTAAATATTTTGGGCTTTGTGAGTCATATGGCCCCTGTCACAGCTACTGTGCTATTGCAGCACAAAAGTAGCCATTCACATAAATAAATGGGCAAGCCTGTATTCCTATAAAACTTATTTACAAAAACAGGCAGTGGACCAGTATAACTAAGTTTGAATCTGGGCCTGTTTTCATTATCTGTTATTATATATTAAACCACTTCAAAACTTAGTGGTATGAAATAAGAGCCATTTATTATATCATGATATTTCATTTCATTGCTATTATTTTTTATGATTCTGCAATCAGCTAGGCTCCGCTGGGTGGTTCTTCTGCCAGTCTTGCCAGTGGTGACTAGGGAGGCTGCATTTAGCAGGCAAGTTGTCTATGGACATGGCCCAGCTGAGAACATGGGGATGGCTGGGTCTCTGGCTCTGTCCATATTGTCTCTCATATTGTCCCTCTAACATGGTAGCTGGACTTCTTACATGTTGGCTTAGGATATCCAAGAGTGTACAAGTGGACACCACTGCACCTTTTTCAGGCTAAGGCCAAAAATTTGCACATAATTTCCACCCTGTCCTATGGGTTAAACCAGGTCCAAATCCAAGGGGAGGGGACTATACCGGGGCATAAATACCAGGAGGCATGACTACTAATGAAACAGACTGCCACATTGTTCTACCTTTAAGTAGCTACTTCTTCTTCTTCTTCTTCTTCTTTTTTTTTTTTTTTTTTGAGACAGAGTCTCACTCTGTTGCCCAGGCTAGAGTGCCGTGGCATCAGCCTAGCTCACAGCAACCTCAAACTCCTGGGCTCAAGCAATCCTTCTGCCTCAGCCTCCCGAGTAGCTGGGACTACAGGCATGTGCCACCATGCCCAGCTAATTTTTTTCTCTCTATATATATTTTTTAGTTGCCAATTAATTTCTTTCTATTTTTAGTACGCTCTTGCTCAGGCTGGTCTCGAACTCCTGAGCTCAAATGATCCTCCCGCCTCGGCCTTCCAGAGTGCTAGGATTACAGGCATGAGCCACCGCACCCGGCCTTAAGTAGCTACTTCTGAGTACCTACTTAGAACCTCTGGGTTCAGCCTAACACTGAATAATCGTGGACAAATTCCTTAACCTCTTTAAGCTTTAGACTTTCAATTTATAAGATGGATTCATAGGATTTTGGTGAGGCTGCAATAGATATAGAAAACTCAGCATGTAGTGGCTGATGTATAATGGGCATTTAATAAGTAGGAGCTTGTAAAGTGATAAAAGTGAGGGGAAATATATATGTGCATATGTGTGTGTGTGTGTATATATATATATATATATTTAATTATTGGAAAGAACTAGGTTGTTTCCATGGCAAACCATTATGTACTGTGGTGTAACAAACTTATTTAAAATTGTGTGTTGTAGCAGTATTTTTAGAGCAAAATTAAGACATTGCAGAATCTAGTTTTGTTGTATGGCACATAGTAAATGCTAAGCAAGTAAATGTTGTCAAATGAGTAAATTCATTATATGCTTTGTTTTTATTTCTGAGGGAAAAGCTAACAAATTTACATTAACATTAAAACAGTATTTATATCTGGATTTGGGATATGAAATGTGTTTTGTCTCTGAGCTGAGATCTTGTTTTACTCTCTTTTTCAGGTAATAGAGGACACATCTTAACTGGGTTGCTTTAAGAACTGATGCCTAAATCATCTCAGCATGGCCTGTAGAGGAGATGAGCCCGGCAAGCCTTTCTCAGCTATACTCTCTTGGGTTAGCCCTGGAAGTCTTCCCACACATAGAACCCGTACCCATAATATATGCATGGTATCTGACTTTTTCTACCCAAATATGGGAGGTGTGGAAAGCCACATTTACCAGCTCTCTCAGTGCCTGATTGAAAGAGGGCATAAGGTTATAATTGTCACCCATGCTTACGGAAATCGAAAAGGCATCCGTTACCTCACTAATGGCCTCAAAGTCTATTACTTGCCTCTGAAAGTCATGTACAACCAGTCTACAGCCACGACCCTCTTTCACAGTCTACCATTGCTCAGGTACATATTTGTTCGGGAGAGAGTCACAATAATCCATTCACATAGTTCTTTTTCTGCCATGGCCCATGATGCTCTCTTCCACGCCAAGACAATGGGGCTTCAGACAGTCTTCACGGACCATTCCCTTTTTGGATTTGCTGATGTCAGCTCGGTGCTTACAAACAAGCTTCTAACTGTGTCTCTTTGTGACACAAACCACATCATTTGTGTCTCTTATACTAGTAAGGAAAATACTGTATTAAGAGCAGCACTGAATCCTGAAATAGTGTCCGTCATTCCTAATGCTGTAGATCCTACTGACTTCACTCCAGACCCATTTAGAAGGCATGATAGTATAATAACTATTGTTGTTGTCAGCAGACTTGTTTACAGAAAAGGTAATGAAATGATAGCTATAATTGCAGATTTTTTTCATTGTAGAAAGCTGTTGAATACTTGTATATAATGATTGTTTGGCTTTTTGTTTATGGTTTAGTAACTACTTCTGCATTACATATAGCAAAGAAAGTTCTAATATCGGTTTATATTGGAAGAGAAATTTTTAGAGTTGTGAATGCTGTCCCCCAACCTTTGATGTTTTAATGGTTACTAAAAAATAAAAATAACCTGATGCTGTTTAATTGATCAGGTCTTTTTGGAAGTTAAAACAGCCCTGTACATGTGGTAAGAAGTGAAGGGCAGAGCCCACTGCATGGCCTTTTCTTTCTGGTTGCAAAAGTAATGTGTTTTCATTGCAGATATTTTGAAAACTAAGAAAAGCTCAAAGATGAAAACAAAAATCAGCTGTAACTGTATTATTCAGAGATGACCCTAATGAACGTTTCGATCTGTAGTTTTCCTGTCTTTTTTATGCATACGTACATATGCTGAAAAATCAATGGGCTTGTTCTGCACTTTACTGTTTTGTACCTTGTTTGTTTCATTTAATCATATATAAGACATTAATAACATATTGGCAGGTAAGTGATGAAGAAAGGGGATTAGATGGCCCAAGGCCACATTGTGGCTCTATCCTTGTTGTATGATCAAGGACAAGTTACTTAACATCTCTAAGTCTCAGTTTTTTCATTTGTGTAATTTAGACGACAATGGGAACCTCCTGAGGGTTCGGTGATAGTTCCTATAAACTGTTAGCCCAGTTTGTATTGGATAAATGTCTGCTAATATCAAGGAGGATTTTTTTTTAGTGCCTCTGCAGCATTTAGTGGACACTGTATTTGAATTTGTGGAGGCTTTTTTACTAAATGTCTGAAACAGTCTGGTTATTAGAAACATATAAATAGTCTTCTAGATGCTATTTGAAAACCTGTCCAGTAATCAGAAATTCCATTTAAATTAGGAAATCATTAAAAATAATATATACCCCCCTTAAATATTTGAATTTAACTCAAAATATTAATACACTGAGTTGCCAGTAGTTTGATGTAGGGCCGTAGGCTTTAAGTACTGGTCCACTGATTTCAGCTGCATTATCTTACATAATGGCTTTCACAAAGCATAATCTTCCATTGTCACTTTGGGTTTCTTTTAAGTGTGGTGAGAACCTATAGACATATGAAGCAGTGTGCTTCTGGAGTTTTGTTTTCAATGTTATACAGTGGTTTAGGACATCCCTCATTTGACAAGACCTTTTTCCTGTGACTTTCCTTTATTGGACTTTTCAAACTGTTTAGCTTAGTTTTCATAGAAACTCATTTTATCAGTTTATGTGTTATTTAATTAAATTACCCAAATTACAGTGACAAGTACAGCTGGCATCAAACACATTTGTGAACATATGCAACTGATTGTTGGTAAGCATGAAGCTCAGCAGTGTACCAGTGTACTAGGGAGTGGCCCAAAATCTAGATGTGGGCCTTGGTCGGTATACTTTACTTTTGGGACAGAGAGCCTTGGCTGACCCAGCAATTCGTGTAAGTGGAGGTTGGTGAGAAAAATTCTACTCAACTGCATTTTCTAGGGTGAAAGCAATGATGTGCTTTCATTCTTTAATCAAGGAGATGTGAATGGACCAGCAGTTTGTATTCTGAATCCCTCTTGGGACATTGGTGGTATGTTTGTTGTAACTTAGAAAATGTGCCTAATTTATTTTTTAATCAAATAGCATACCTGTGAGACAGCTAGCTAAGAAAGGGTATGACGCATGTATGAAGATCAACAAAATTAACTACTCGTGCAAATATTAAACCTGTTACCTTTACTTCATTAATGTGGTATTTTAACCAGCTGAGCTAAACATCAGTGGAGTGAAGGTATGGCCTTTCCTGTTCTCAGTTCAATAACTCAATGTTGTTATTTGTTGAACCCTCTCCATATGCCAGGCACTCTGCAAAAAATAACATTCCGGGAGGGAATGGCCACATCTGTAGCCCTGTATTAATGGTCCATTCCTTATTTACAAATTAATATCCTCAGGAGGTGTTCATTGGATCATGTGACAAAAGCCCACTGGAATGTATTGAGAGAATAAATCCGAATTCTTCTTGCCCAGGTTTTTGGGTTGGCTTCTTCCTGAGCATCCTTCTCTCCAGCCTGTTTTGCTCCCAGTTAGGGTTTGCCAGTGCTTTGTACATGTGCAGGCATGCCTCACTTCCCGCTGCAGGGGTAATGACAACTCACGTTTGTATTCTGCAGTTGAGGAAGCCTGTGCATGTTACAGTACCTCACTTGACCCTCCCAACAACTAGGGTAGATGTTATCTGCATGTAACAAAGAAACTGAGTCTCAGAGAGGGTAAGTAACTCGTCCAGGTTACACAGTAAGTAAGAGAGATGACAAACATGAGTCCATCTCTTCTAGACTTAAGGTCTCCTCCTGTTCCTCTACCCTTGCCTGCCTAGCCACTGTTATCCTAGGTATGTAGATCAGAAGGTTTTTAAAAATGTTGTTAGACCGAGCTTTAAAAGTTTGAATTAGGAATTTTTGTTGTCCATTTTGTGTGATATGGCGATCGAAAGTCTCTGTATGTTCCATTGTGTTAAACTTTCTTAGAGGTGCAAAAATAATTTTTTTATAGTGGAGGAAAAACCCTTTATTTTTAGAATAAAATTTATAGATCATTGATAATATTAATCAGTTCCATTTCATATAAGGTGGTTGCCAGGATTAAATGACATAATGCATTTAAAATACATTGCCTGACATAGTAAACATTTCAGTTAAAGTAGCTATTATCAGCAATTATTATTTGCTTGTGTTGTTTTTTGTTTGTTTGAAGAATGAGCTTTTAACCTTGTGCGAGAAAGGAGAGAAGGAAGAAGAGAGAGGGGAAAGAAAGAAAATAAAATGAAAAGAAGGAATTGTAGGTGGCTAAATGTTAAGTCTTTAATTTACCTTCTGGCTTATTTAGAAATTCAATCAATGAATTTGGTAATTGACTTGACACAAAGATAGCTAAGGTTTTAATGAAAAGACTTCATAATTCAGAAAAGTTGTATGTGAATTTATTTTTGACGCATGCAAACATATTTTGAAAATACCAGCAGAGTTTACTTAATGATTCTTACTTTACATTGTTTATTAAAAATGACCCTATATATATAATTTCTCCCACCATCTATTTTATAATTGATCTGACTGTTTTGGGGAAGATTGATGTAAGAAATGCAATTTTTGTGTGTATATGCATTTTTTAAATTAATAAACTTAGCTCTAAGTGGATCATTTTGCGTTTACTTTTGAATGTGTATGATTTGTAATTGTTAATGAAGTAAATTCCCAAATATTGTCAACATTGCTGTTACTTTGGATAGCCACAACTTTTTCAAACTAGTAGGGCATGATTTACTTTATTGCTTTATATTACCTGAGATTGTATTTACATATTATAAGAAAGTCATTTTTTAAAAAGGAAACAAAGATGCGTCCTTTTGTTCCACGGACTGTAATGATCTGACAATTGAGGTCCTGCTACCTTCACTTACTCCCATTCCAGGACAGTGGGATATAGCTTGTTTGGACGGACTATTGTTTTAAATTTTGCTAATACCATAGTGTTCACTGCAAAATTCTCTGTACAAACTGTGTTTTGAACAAAGTGGAGGCAACAGACTTTGTTGCTTAGCCCTTTCCTATAGAAGGAAGTAGAATCATAGACTGATGGAATTTTACAGCTGAAAGAGACTTTAGGTACGTAGGTCACTTCATTTTGCAGATCAGGAAACTTCCCGTGATCAAAGGGCTTGTTCGTAAAAAAGCTGGGACAAGACCTAGATCTTCAGTCAGCTGCCTACTTTGGAGAAAGCTAACTCAAACCTTGGCCACCAAAAATACCTTTTTTAGAAGTAGGCTATGTATACACACAAGTGAGTAACAAAGAATAGTCTATTGAAATGGAACAGAATTATCCATATTTTGGGTGTGTGGAAGGTAACAATGCATGTCAAGGTCTATCTCTTCAAGAACTGCAACTTTTGGGGAACCACTGGCAGTTTGTGAACAATTCCACCCTCCTGGGAAAGGTTTAAGAGAGTTAGTTTCTCTACTTTAAGGAATGCACAGCTAATACTTTTTGAAGTGAGTGGATTCTCAGTAGTTCCAATGATTTTTTTTTAAAAAGTATAAATGTTAATATCTCCAACATTCAACTTTATATTTTCAGGAACTGATTTGCTTAGTGGTATAATACCTGAACTCTGTCAGAAATATCCAGAGTTAAATTTCGTAATTGGAGGAGAGGGACCAAAGAGAGTCATTTTGGAAGAAGTTCGGGAAAGATACCAGCTACATGACAGGTATTGATGGATTATTGATGGATATTGATGGATATTGTCTTGAGAAAATATCAATTATCTATATTCGATTTTGACTACATGCCTGCCTTAGGTGTGCTGCTTCTCCTACATGTAATTGATATAAAAATGTAATGCAAGGCCTGTTTTTAAAAAAATTTACATAAAACAGGAAGCCTAGTTAAAGAGTCCACAGTTTTATTTTATTTTTTCATTAGCCCAGTATTATTTGACTTTGAGGGGCAGTTGTTGGCACCGTAGAAGCCACAAAAAAACAACTGCTTTGATTGGAAATGTTTACAGATTTCCAAGCCGTACTGTGTTGTAATTTAAATAGGATGGCTCAAATCTTGTAAATTGCCCTGCACATACAGATTTGGACAGGTCTCTTCCTCAGTAACAATGTAACAAATGAGCTGCCTATGTGTGAAGCATCAATTTTAAAAGGGCAATTTTCTTGTTTAGAATTGATACTTTAATATTTAATCATCAAAATATGTTAATATTTTCATTACATGCAAACTAGTTTTGGAAAAAAATGGAATTTGATATGTGTAACATAAAATATGTTGGCTATCTGAGTTTTAACCCAATAGTTTTATAAGGCTATTTCTGTTAGATCAGTGTTTATGATATTCATCTTTAGAGGTAGAAAACATTAGCAGCAGTAAGAATCTAAGTGTAATATAAATAGCAGACTTGGCTTATAAATTTCTTTTGTAGCATGATTTTTCACTTCTTTCTTCCCCTCTCATTTAAAAAATCAGGGTGCGTCTTTTGGGAGCTTTAGAACACAAGGATGTTAGAGATGTCTTAGTTCAAGGACACATTTTTCTTAATACCTCCCTTACCGAAGCATTCTGCATGGCGATCTTGGAAGCAGCCAGTTGTGGTTTACAGGTAAAAAGCTTTGAGGGCATACATTGTTGGGGTTTCTGTATTCGTGTTTTGAAAAATAATGAGATACATTCCTAATAATTTCTTAACTTGGTTTTGTTCATCTTCCTGACGTATGATTATGGTGGAACATGTGTTCTTTCTTTCTTTTTAAGGTTGTAAGTACCAAGGTTGGTGGAATACCTGAGGTGCTTCCAGAAAATCTTATTATTTTATGTGAGCCTTCAGTAAAATCTTTGTGTGAAGGGTTGGAAAAAGCTATTTTCCAACTGAAGTCGGGGACATTGCCACCTCCAGAAAATATCCATAACGTAGTAAAGACTTTCTACACCTGGAGGAATGTTGCAGAGAGAACTGAAAAAGTATGTCACGTGCTGAGAAAAGATAGTGTCTGAACTCTTACTTGATGTTTCACATACACTTTTGCTTTTTCTTACATACAGGTTTACTGTTTCTGTTCTATTGCTTAAGTTTATGAAATCACTTCCAAACGAAAAGAAACAAACTTCATTACTTTGGGCACACATGTTGGGCTGAGTGTCTAGTCAAATCATTACATTTGATATCTGAAAATATCAGTAATACAGTAGTCTAGCCCCCTCATTAAACTGGACATAAGGAAGTTACAAAATTTTTTAGAAGTCACAGTGATTAGAGACAAAACTAGCATGAACATCTCTTCTTAGTTATTTTCTTGAGGCTGTTCATAATTCTAAAGCATAGGAAATAATATGGTTTTGCCTATTGTGGCAACTTTATAACTTGCGAATATTTAATTCATCATACTTTGTAAACCTCTTGTGGCACTTTTACTAACTACTGTGATTTTCTTCAGGAAAAGGATTTTTACATCTTTGGGCTGATTGAGAACATAATTTAGAATTCAAAATGTACATGATAACAGTTGGAAAAATGATCACAAATAAAAAGCAGCAATGGAGAATTTCCAAAAGGACAGGAACAGGAAATAAATTAACACGCTGAGGTAGAAGAGTACAGTTGTGAGAAATGGTTCCTGACTTTGAGTTAGGTACTTCATTTAATTCTACTCACTTTCTTCCTTTATGTCCTTCTTATGACTTTCTGTGCCTCATGCCTCTTATTACCATGTAACAAGCTGAACAGAAACAATTTGGCTTCGTAGAAGGTAGAAGTTGTGAACCAGAAAGACAGCTAGGTGGAGCATGGAGAAGGCAGTGGTTTAGGCTGATGCTTTATACTATCACTGTATTCAGTGGGGCAGTAAGTTTTTAGCCTGGAGTGAGAACAGTTCTTTTTTAAATTTTATTTATATTTATTTATTCATTTATTTTTGAGGCAGAGTCTCACTCTGTTGCCTAGGCTAGAGTGCCGTGGCATCAGCCTAGCTCACAGCAACCTCAAACTCCTGGGCTCAAGCGATCCTCCTGCCTCACCTTCCCGAGTAGCTGGGACTACAGGCATGCACCACCATGCCTGGCTAATTTTTTTCTATATATTTTTAGTTGGCCAATTAATTTCTTTCTGTTTTTAGTAGAGACGGGGCCTCACTGTTGCTCAGGCTGGTTTCAAACTCCTGATCTTGAGCGATCCTCCTGCCTCGGCATCCCAGAGTGCTAGGATTACAGGCGTGAGACACCACGCCCGGCTGTGAGAACAATTCTTTACCTTAAGGCTTTCTTATTTGGTTTGAATTGTAAATTCCAGTATATAAGATGAACTCATATTTGAATGTAAGTTGAAAAAAGTCCTATCTCTACAAATTGCCATATATATTTTCCATTGAAATATGAGATACTTGAAATAAACATTTTTAACTGAAGTATTTCTGAGTTATCCTGACCTTTTAAATGTCTTGTACTATCTCCACCCATATGAAATAGCTGCCTTTTCCTTTGGAAGTTGGAGTATACCACTGATTACCTGTTAGGAGTGCATGTCAGTGTCACCTCATAGCCTTTTCAGCCTCTGTACACTCCATCTTCATGTCCTCCTGTCTCCTCAACCACTCCCTGGATTCTTATGTTACTCTTTAGGAGCAGAGGTGAAATTTGGGATATGATTGGCAGGGATATTTGGTTAGGGTTTTTTGGTGATACAACCCTGATGGAAAACCACAGCTTTGTATGCTGTGACTTGACCTTGTTTATTGACATCATATAAACCTCAGAAGTCTGAGCCATTGCAGGTAATAAATTCAAAGGGGAAGAACTATGGTGACAGTTTATTAAAGGAGCTAATTGGGATTTTTTTTGTAACTATATATTTTCTTTTAGTTATGCTTAAAATAATAGTAAAGCATCTATTTTCTTTTCTATTTTATACTTTCTGGTGATCTATAGTATACATTTAGAAAAACATAAATCCTTTGCTATAATGAATTGTCAGTAGGAAATTATTTTATCACTTAAGATCATAAATTAATTGACCTGAAATAAAGATGGACAGTTCAGTTTGTAGTTGCTCTTTTAACTTGAGGACATTTTGATCCTTTTCAACTCTTTCCTCTTAGTTTAACTGTGCTATTTAGAAAATTGACTATGAAATTAAATTGGAGTTCATGCTGTAAACATACTTTTTCAGTTACAATTCACCAGCGTTACCATAATTCTCAACATAATTCTGATTAAAATGTTTGTAATCAAAATGTTCTCAGGATAAAAGAGCTGGATGTAAATATGTTGTACCTTTCAAAGGTCATTGACCTGCAGAACTTAAAACCTGCAGATCTTAAAACTTTCTTGCGTTCAGAAGAAGACTGTTACAGGTCAGATATGTGAGACTAAAAACAAATAATGCTTAAATGCAATTTTAAAAAAAGAATGTTGGCCCATTTGATGTATTCTAACCAAGTATGTTTAAAGATCTTTGTTAATATTTTAGAGTTCAGCACTTAGCAGTGTTTTTAAAATAGCAAGCCACTTACTGCCAATTTTCAGCAATAAACTTTATTACATTTGCCAGTGTTTGACCTATACCATCTATTAGAATTTCCCATATCTCTTTCTCCTCTTTTATTTGAAATCCATGCCATTTGTGCCCAGCAACATAGACGGCTTCACACACCTGTTGAAAGAGCCTCCGGGTACCCAGCAGCACACTAGATTGTAGCTCTCTGATTGTGGTTGATGTCTGCCAGATGCCAGTGAGAGCTGTCTCAGCTGAGTCAAGGAATCTTCAAAGGCCAATCCTGCTTCAGCACTGCTGAAATCATTGCTGAATTAAGTATCACCCTTACAATGGTGAACCAAAAAGCTATTCAGACTTTGCAGGACTTTGGAATTCTAAGCTATAATCGATGATGTTCCCCTGAGGGAGAGGAACTGTCACTTATTCTTTGTATCAATAGTGTCTAGCCCAGCGTTTTGCCCAGAATGAGTGTTCAATAAGGTTGAATCAAATGGCAGTAATTATTGTGATTAAGTTCATTAAGGACATCATTACTGTAACAACAAAATGTGAGTGACTTCTGTTTGCATGTATTTATAAAAGGTTCCCGCGGGAGCAGGTCATTGTTTGGTATGTGACCGGTGATAGGTTAGAGTGCTCATTCTTGGCTTCTCTCCTGCCAGGTGTATGACCGGGTGTCAGTGGAGGCTGTGTTGCCAATGGAAAGGCGACTGAACAGACTTATCTCTCACTGCGGCCCGATAACAGGCTACATTTTTGCTTTGTTGGCCGTTCTCAACTTTCTCTTCCTCGTTTTCCTGAAATGGATGACTCCAGATTCTGTCATTGATGTTGCAATAGATGCTACCGGTCCAAGAGGTGCCTGGACTTATCGATGTTCTCACAGAAAGAGGAGGAGTGGGAAATATGAGATATCTAAAACCAGGTAGAAGAAAGCCTGGATTGTAAGGTTTTAAGCATTTGTAATAGTTCTATTAAGACTATTGAAAATAACCTTGCTTTTTTGGGTTTTCGTTTTTTAAAGTTAATTTAGTAAGTTATGCTACCTCTATATCATTCAATGTTTTCTTTTGAGGAAAGATAAAAACTTATGCAATTCCTGAGTGTAGAAACTCCTTGCACTTACTTAAAATTTAGGAGAGAACATTTAAGCCACTCAGGTATGAAATTTTTCAGACTACTGAAATCCCTCTAGCAGAGATGTTTTAACATTATATTTTGAGAGCTTTGGGTGCTGAAGGGCCAAACGTTTTCTGGGCATTTTTTGGCCAGTTTTTACTGTTATACCATTAGACATTAATTAGACACTCACCAAATGTTTACAAGTTTTCTTTAGGGAAGTACAACAACTATATGAACTATTAAGTCACATTCATATACATTTATTAGAGATCTAAGTCATGTTCTTAAACATTTATTGGGTCCACTCAGTAAGTGTTCCATATAATCAACTGGTTTCTTGAGTAAGATGGTTCATTAGTTACCAGTACATTTTGAGCACCTGCTATGTGTGGAATGTTGAACCAGATACTTCTGCCTTTACGGACCAGGGGTGTATTCATTGTTTATCATTCAGATGGCTTACTTCATTTTAGTCATGGTTGACATGAAATGGTAAAATGTCCAACATGCCAAAAATGCTCAGGCTGGTTAATACCAGGAAAAAAATCAGACACACTCCTAGTACTTTGATCCTGTTGTATGCATTTTCCTAGGTAGAGCCTTCGTATTCAGTTGTGTTTATGAAGATATTTTTTGCTTTTCGAATACTAGGGACCGACATCACTGTTGATGATAGCGCAGAGAAACCCTCCACATATTTCAGTGCATAATTTAGTCCTCTGTAAATGCCTTCGTGTTTTCTGAGCAGAATGTATGAGGTGTGCCATCTCAAAACCAGCTGCTACCCTGTCCTTTTGGTATGAGTCACTACCCTTCACTGTGGCCTCGCTAATGTCTGATAAGTATTGTCAGTGTGCAAAAGGCTTTACTCCAGAATGTTTTATTTATGGCAAACCAAGTCTGAAAATTTTAGGAATGCAGTCTCTTTATGGATGGATGTTGTTAACTGTAATGGTTGTTGCCCAGAGCCATGGGTTTTTTAACCCCAAATTATCCACATGGTGTGTATTATTAATTCTTTGAACTCTTTAGAATAAGTTTTTGTGAGAAAAGGACTGTGAAATTAAAATAATGAGACACTCATGGGTACACTAGATTGATTCTGTCAGTATTGTGATTCTGTACAGAATTTTTTTAGATGACAACATTCACAAAACTTTTTAAAAAGTATCTTAACATGCCTATTAACTGGTTGCACTGATGTAAAAGAAATTTGTGTTTTGTTTGTACTAAAACACAAATGCAAGAGTGCAATTTTTAAAATCTAGAAGTTAGAGTTTCTTTTGTTGGAGAAAAATGGATTGATCCAAACCTGTTTCATTGGGTTTTTATGCACACAAACTCTGTATAAATATGAAACAAACCGTGCCAACATTCATGGTAAAGTGAGAAACTGTAACGTTTAATTTGATTTATTCTACTCGTCAGTTTTTAAAGGTACACTACCATTCCATTTTTTCTTATATTTTTTGCTTCTTAATTTTTTAAAAAAATCATTTAACTCTTAAGTTGTCATTTATTTAATATTGAAATAAGATTTTAAAATTAGTTGCCTTTGCATGTGAACTATGTAATTTTCATTTTTTACCCTTTTTTTAAATAAATGAAACTAAATTTATTTGTCTTACATCAGTCTTAATTTTCAGCCTTCCTGGATACCTTAATTGTAACTGTCAGTGTTGCACTGCTCAGTATGTGGAAACACATTGTTCTACCCTGATACTTACAATTTATTTGAAAGTGAACTTACAGTGATGAGGAATTTATTAAAAACATACTGTATTTCTTCGGATGTTACAAAAGATTGCACATGTAAAACTTTTAACATGCTACGTATCCAAAAATAAAGATCAGAATAACATTTTGATAATTTTCTGAGTTTGTCTTGTTTTATGAACAGGTGATTACTTACTAGTAGAACAGAGTCCTGCTGTCCCACACTTTCTTTTGCAGTGCAACTTGGTGTGTTGCTTGGTCTGTTAGTAAAACAGGAAACATCCTTCAGGTGATGAATTAGTCTGTCATGTTTTTACTTCTCAAGTATATTCTCTCTTTTACTCATGGAGTAGCAAGTTTGTTTCCTGATCCAAACAAACTTTTTTGTTTTTTACTGCTGTAGAGTTATCACGTGAGACAAATGAAATCATCTACAAACTATCGTGTGTGTGAACAACATAATTATACTTCTATCTTGCCAGCTATTTTGAGAGAAATTTGAATTTTGACTTCATTTACAGAAGCCTGGCTTCCCCCACTCCTTTTGTTGGAAGCAGTGCAAAGCAGTCACCTACATTCATATGTTTGGATTTATCTTACACTAAAACTTATTTTTGGCATAGTCATGGTATTATGGGTCTGTGTTTACTTTTGTAAAGTATTTTTAAAGGCCTCTTTAGCCATCTCTGCATTCCTAAAGAAATGTAGCTTGATGTTAAATTGTATCATCCTGTGGCTGGATTTTATGAAATTATGAAAATTTAAGTTCTATACAGAATTTGATTTGTATTCTACAGTACTTTGGAGAGTTGATTTTACTTTATCATTTATTTCTGGGTATGGCTTAGTGGTTCTCAACTCTCAACTGCAGGATGGGGGTGATGATTTTGTCCCCCCAGGGGACATCTGGCAATTTCTGGAGACATTTCTGATATTTAATACTACTGGATGGGGGTGGGACATTGGCATCAAATGAGTAGAGGTCAGGGTTGCTGCTGAGCATTCTACAATGCTCTGGACTGCCCCCCACAACAGAATATCAGTAGTGATGAGGCTGAGAAACCTAGTGCCATTTATTTTATTTGTAAAATACACTGTGAATCAACTGTCCTTTTATCTGTAGCCTTTTATGTCCGTCTCAAATGTGGCAAAGATGGTCTCTCAGAAACAATATAGCCTTCCATTTGAACCCTAAAAAAGTAGAGTTCATGACCAGCATTTTTGGTGTGTAAAACAAAAAAGACAGCCATGCTTTAAATGAAAAGACCAAGACGAGCATGAGTAATGTTATAAAACAATATGCGTCACTGGTCTGACATGAGTAGATGATTGCCTACCTAGAGTACAATCAAAGGAAGAGATACACGAAAAGAGCTGAAATACTTGTATTCATGTATTTTCATATATTGGTGTTCTACCAAGTAATCTAAGCTCAGTAAATTTTATATGTTAATATCCGTTCCGTGAGAGTGAAAAAAATACAATATCTTTATAGTGCTGTGATGTACTGAAATGGATGAGCTATATATTGTGGCTTAAGGTTGTATTCTCATCTGTCAGCCTTTTTAACAGAATAGTGAAACAGTACTTATAGAGGCAGTTGTTCTGAGAAACTCCCACATTTTTCATAAAGCATTTATTAAATGGATTTATTTAGTTACTCATATAATTTTATTTTGGCTTGCCTTTTCAATAGATTTCAGAAATTTACAAAATATAGCAGAGAGAGTGAAGGAAGAAACCTAGAGTGATGAGGAAAATTAAAAATAAACCGATTTCACTTGTGTTGGCCAGCTGATGAGTGAATATTGCCCAACTACGGAACGTTGAATCTTTGAGTACTTCACCCAGATCTCTTTCATGGATCTCGTTCATCCATTTCTTTTTGACTCTTCCATGGTCAAAGACAGCCCATACTTTCCAGAAAGAGGCACCATGTTTACTGATGCTTGTAATGGAAGTGAGTGATCAGGAGGGAACCTTGCAGTGAGACCTTGTCATCGATGAAGCAACCACAGTGAGTAGTCCCAAGGCTTCCAGTCTGACACTTTCACTTGGAGAGGTATCTAAGATGAGCCTTTTAGTAAATACTGCCTTAGAGTAAATTATCTTTTTTAACTAGTCATATTTTAGATTTGGACTTAATCCTCCATAAACCTCAGAATGAAGAGAAAATGAAATTTTCCTGGGAATAGTATTTCCCACTAAGAACATAGAGTATATTTGCACTTCTGTGTATGAACATCAGATAGCTTGCTTTGTTTCTTTGGAGTCTGAGAAGCTTCTTTTATCTTTCCAACCCTGCCTTTCAAAATAATATAGCAAAAATAGGGGTTTAGGAGTAAAAAAGGTCTGGACATGAATCCTGTTTGTTAGATAGTACTGAGTAATGTAGCTCTAGAACTATTGGATGTTTCTGGTTAGAAGGAAGTTTCTTTAGTTTATTTAGCATTGCTGTGGATGTCAGCACATGCACTTGCCAAATCACAGTTAGATTAGAACCTACAAACTGAGTACTTGGTAACAGGAGCACCGAGTGCTGGAAGGTTTAAAATAGATGTCATATGATACCAATTATAACTCAGTGAAATTTTACAGTCCTGGGACCCTATGCAGAGCATAAGCCAAAATGGAAGATGGTCCTGTTTTCTATGGCTTTAAAAACATTTTTATTACAATGTTTGCTACCTTTTTTTTCTTCAAGCTTTTAATTAAGGTTTTTTTGGCTCTCCTAACCCATTTCTATGTCGTCAAAGGAAATAGAAAAGAAGCAGCTAGGATAGCAGAAGAGATCTATGGTGGAATTTCAGGTAAAAATACATGAATTTGTTCCCAATACTTACAAACCCCTCCTAGATAATTCATATGAATAGTATTTCTAGAAGGCAGATGTTATGTAACTTTGGTTTTGAGTGGGTAGTTTTAAAACATTATCATTTAAAGTGGCAAATGCTGTAGGTTGCATCAATTTGTGAAGGATTTTCAGCTTTATTTTTGCAAGTTAGTAGATCTATTAACAGTTATTATTCAAGAGGTAAATAGAGTAGTTGCTAGTTACTAAGAGTATTTTGAGAAACCTCATTTCTACTGGCCAAAAGAACTTATATAGGATTATTTTCTTTAATATTTTTAATCAAACTTTAACAATGAACATTCTAACAAGACAATTTCCTTAGGAAATAGAATATGACCAGTAAATTTGATTTTAAGCAGCAAACGTGGCATGCTGGGTATATTTTTGTGCTGCAATTTGCAGTTGAAATTGATTAACAACTTGTTGCTGTTAGGAAAAACCCTTCACTAAACCCATTTGTATGTGGCACCATGCAAAGCACTGCAAACAAACGTTATTATAATATGAAACATCAAGATTTGGGTAAAACATTTTACAGTCTCATGCTTTGTAGTGATTAGTCTCCATTTCTTTTAAGAAATTATTCACCTTAATTGTGAGATGCTACAAAAGTAATGAATCAGATATCCCTGTCACTGCTGGGATTGTCACTTAATAGAGTATTTATTCATAAACAGTTCAGAATTTCCTTATGTATTTTTAGTGTTCACAGGGGTTCCAAGATTACATCATTCTTTATCTAGTATCCATTTCAATTTGCATCCAGGATTCTCTTTCAAAATAGACGTATGCTATGTGATTCCAATACACTAGACAACTTGGAAGACACTAGACAACAGCAGTCTTATCCAAAGAAATAAGACCTCCAAAGACGAAGCATCAGAATGCTTCAATTAACTGGGGAAACTGAGAAGAATTTTGAAGTTTCAGAAAGTGTCCGATGGCCCGGATTGTGGAAGGAGATTTCTTTTGGGGATTACATTTGTCACACGTTTCAGGGAGGTATGTTACTTTGGTTAAAAAAAAAAAAAGAATACTTCTCTTTAGTTTCATGTTAAGCATGATCTGAAAAGCTATTTTCTAATTTAACTTGTAAAATGGGAAGGGTTTTCTAAAGTATTCAGTAATAGTTTCAATGTTGTTATAGATACATCACCTTATGGTTTAAATTAGGCAAAGTCCAACAAAGTCAATATTGGCAAGAGAATGTTAAAAATGTTTTCTCCTGTTGCTCAAGTGCATTATTTCTGTCTTTGTGGTCCTTAATTAAGTGCACTTTTAAAAAGGTTTTATAGTAATCAAAACCCATGTAAACATGGTTTTAATTTAAGTCTGGAGCCTGAATGCAAATCTCTTAAATATAATTATTCATTCTTTAACTCATATCTTTACTTGGTCATGCTCCTAGGATAATATTCATTTAATTTGCAGGTAGTATAGTGTTATAAGGTCAAAAACATATTTTTCAATTATCATTAAAGAAGTAGAGCTGAGAATGATGCATGTTAATTTCCCTGTTTTATTTCCTTCCTGTGTATATGTATACCCCCCATATATATATATAATAGAAAGTATATCCAGATTTGGTAAATAAGTTTTTCTATAGTGATATAGGCAGTAATATACCAGAACCAGTAGTTTTTACATGATTCTGTGTTTTTTCTTTTGACATCACTGTTAACAGATACTATATATTTAAAATAAGATGTATTAAAAATCAAGAACAAAATTTTGTGAGAGTGTTACACTCAAACCGGAAATCACCTTTGCTATTCATTGGTTAGCCAAATGTTTGTTGGGAAAATATATGACATTTAATCAGTAAGTTAGCTAATTGACTTACACAAGTCCCAGTCCAAGGTTAAATTTCTTGATTCTGCTAGCATATTCTGTTCCTGTAAACTATCATCAGCAATGTCAAAAACAAGGCAGGACAGGAAAAACTCAGCCAGGGTAGAGGTTAGACTTTCCAGGTCCTAGGCACTCTTTCTTTTGGAAGTTACACCTAACATCTCTTCCTCATGATACATTTTTTTTTTTTAACTGTAAAATCCTTTGGAAAGTTTTCTTCTTAATTCTGGAATTTCATATTCTAGAATACATTAGTCGATATGTCTTTGTGTTTTAAGCTAGTACATTTGCAGGTAACTCATCAGAATTAAGTTAAGCTATGGTTGACTGTTATTAGTTTTGATTTTCAAGCTTCTCTGTATATTTTGTCAATTATATATATGTATATATGTGTGTATACATATATACATATATATGTGTATATATATATATATAGTTTTTTTTTTAAGCTGAAACATTGTCCTTGGCCCTTGGTGTTATGTCTAGAGCATCAGGTGGATCACCGAATCCCACCTTCAGTCTGTAGTAGATATTTGTGTAGGCACCTTTCTCAGGAGGTGCTTAAGCTATGTCTAAAAGATTAGTACTATTCTAAGTGTTACACTTAAAATCACTCACCAACAAACTGACCATGATTTGACATCTGACGTCTTTGCCTCTGTCTGACTCATCTTCCTAACTTGTTTTTTCTGTCTTTTCCATTCAAATAGGATTTGCCTTTGTTCAATTCTTGCCCAAACCACTACCAGCCTTCTGCTCTTATGTAGTTTCACTGGTTGTCTCCTCAAACGTTGGCCTAACCATGCTCTAAGTCAGGCGTCCTCAAACTACGGCCCGTGGGACACATGCGGGTGTTTTTGCCCATTTATTTTTTTACTTCAAAATAAGATATGTGCAGTGTGCATAGGAATTTGTTCATAGTTTTTTTTAATCTATAGTCTAGCCCTCCAACGGTCTGAGGGACAGTGAACTGGCCCCCTGTTTAAAAAGTTTGAAGACCCCTGCTCTAAGTGGTTCCATATCTCAGGTGCCTGCTGGTCTTTCCCAAGTTGGGACAACCAGTCCCCCCAGGGCTCTGCCTCCCACAGGCCACCATTATTTCAGCTCTCTTGCCCCTAATGGGTTCAAAGAAGCCTTCCTTGTAGCATACCACAACACGGTTCATTGTGTCTGAAATGGTTCATTGACTGTGTATGATCTAACCAGCACTGGAACATTCTAGAGAATATTCATTTTAACTCTGTTTTATTATAATATTTTAGATATCTAAAGAAATTTATTATAGTATGTTTTCTGTAGTTATCTTGGAGACATTACTTAATATTAATTCTTCTAGGGTCTTGCCTATCCTTTGGTTCAAAATTGAAGTTCCCTATTCATTTTCTTTTCTTTAATAAATGCTACAGAAGAAAATGTTGCTTAATATGATTTTAGAACTTGAATAAAGAGAATAAAGATTTTTCCATGTGCATCAGGGATTATAACCAGTTAGGTGGTCTTTTTGAATAATAAACTGGTAATCTGAAGTCCTTGTTGGAAATAGGGTATAATTTGCCAAAAAAAATGAAAAAGAATAATTGGTTTTTCTCTCAAATACTTGGAACTTAGACAACTGTATTCTATCTGAACCAATTTTGTTAGTGAAATATATGGTTTTAGAAGTTGTTATTCAAATAGTCTGAGAACTAGATATATAAATCACATTCTACGAAAAATTCAAAAGGGAAAATGAAAAAGTGCTTGAATTTTCTGTATACCTCATCAAGAACAAGCAAACATATTTGTAGAGTAAACTATCTTCATAATGTGTTTGCAGCCCTGTGACACAGGCTGTCTGCCAAATAACTAAAAATAGATTGCTTTAGAGGACAACGATTGAGTCCTATTTAAGCATTCATTTATTTGGAGAGCTTAGTTGCATATTTCCTGAAAGGAATGGAAAAACTCCCAAGCTGCCAAATAACTTTTATCCTCAGTTTCTCACAATTAGCTCCAAATCACAAAATGAGAATGATAAGAGTAAAAAACTGTTGGGAACAAGAATAGAAAAATAGGAAGACCCTACTGTGGCAGTATCTGGAAAAGGATTGTGTGTGAAAACCCTTCAAGGTCCTTTAAAGCAAGTGCTGGAAAACGATTAAACTGGAAATGTTCCTTTCTTGACAGTGATTCTGTTTCCAGCTGGGAAACAAAAATGATGTCTACTTTTAAGGCAGTACTATTGATTTGTTTACACTATTTATGGAGAGAAAGTGGATGTCAAATCATCCCCAAACAAATTAAATCTACTATAAAGATAAGCAGAATTTAAAAACCAATGGTTCTTAAAACCAGAGGAAGGTGTTTTCTGAAGTCCCTAAAACTTGAGTTTCAATCCTACTTCTGCCACTTACTAGCCATGAGATTGCTTCATGTGGAACAAAGTGGTTGTTGTGCATTTTGGGGTGTTCCTGTTCATAAAACAAGGCTCTTCTTTCCTCTACTGAAAGTCATAGGATGGGGGCTCTAGGAGAAATACAAGTTTAGAGAAGGGACACCCAAGAGGAGGGGAGCCTGCTATTTCACTCTCAAGTTGGAAACCTGCTCAGACAACTTGCTGAAGGGCTCCCTCATGCTATCCAAATAGGGGGAAAGAGAATTGGAAAGCAGTGGGGTAGTGAGGGAGAAGCCCAGGACAGCTACCGTTCCCTCTTTCTTGGTGGAGTGAAGATGGCACCACAGGCTTGTCACCACGACCTCAGAGGATGGGGTGCAAGTAGAGGACATTAGAGGATGCTGCATTGATGGGAGACATGAGGACAGGTGGCCAAATGCCAATGGGTACAAAAAGTGCTTGGGAATGAGCCCTGGTACAAAGGGCATGCCACAGACCCAGAGTGAGGCCTGCAGTTGAGGCCAAGAGAGCAGAACTGGCCTCTTCCTCCTCTCCAGTTAACTGGAAAGATCTTTCCTGTTCTTCACTTCTCCCCACTCCCAAGGCACCAAAGGAGCTGGCACCTAGAAAAAAGAAGAAGTGGGAAGCATGTGAAGAACATGCTGCCCTTCCGCCTCCAGCTGCTTGGTGGACCAGACAGAGTCATGCCTTGTGCCCTGAGAGTGAGGAGAAGCCAGGAGCTGTGCGCATGATCAGAGATTACAAGTAGAAAGGGGGTTGGCCTGAGTTGCTTTGAAAACTCTTTACGGAAGTATAACATAAATACAGAGAAGTGCACAAATCCTAAGTGAACAGCTGGATGAATTTTTGCAAAGTGAACACAGTCAGGAACCAGCACCCAAAAGCAACAAACTTCCTATTATTGCATGGCCTCCACCAGGTCCTCCTCCAGCCTACCCCTGCCCCTCCTCGGGATACTTTTGTCTCCTGACACCCAAGGTGAGTTTGCCCTCCTTGTGTACTTTATAGAAATAGAATCATATAGCATATGTTCTTTTGTGTCTGGCTCTTTCATTCAACATTAGGTTTGTGAGATTTATCCATGTTGTTGTGTATATGGATCAGGGCTTATGGGACTCAGGAGTAACAGAAAGCTATTTGAAAGTTCGAAATAGGACAAAGGTGTGCTTAAGGTTCTTGCTTCCCAGGAGGAAAGGGAACCACCATGCCCCCTTGGAGGCAAGATTTAGAAACAATAAAGCCATTTCATTCTGATATCTTAAGACAACTCTTTTAATAGCAAGTTGCTACTTAAATTTTGTTTTTTTGTTTTTTTTGAAGCGAATACTTGTAGTACCTTTGGGTGACTCAGGTTGACTGGCTATTGTTTGAACAATGGAGTAACAAAGCCCCAACTGTGGCTTTGCTTCTTCCACTGGTGAGAGTGGTGAGTCGGCAGCTGTGGGTAAAGACTGTCCTCCCAGCCCCCGTGCTTGCGTTCACTTCTAAAAGCGATCAGGCCAGAGGGGAACATCTCTGCTGTACACTTTACATTGAAAGAGATGGAGAGATAATTACGGGAAAACCAAGCCTCACTAATCGAGCATTACATACATATAATATCTCATTATTTCCAGTTAATTATAAATGTCCAAAGAGATTTAAAAATATTTCACTCTTCAACTTTTAATCAACTCTGGAATAAGTGCAGATACAAACACAATATATGTTCATGTTAAAAATTGTATCTGTTTTTCTTTATTATTAAAAAAGCATTACACATTCATATCAGGAGTGTGGGATCACCAGTGATTTGATCTATCTATCTATTTATTTTTATTTTACTTTTTATTTTGGAACTAATTTCAACCGACAGTTTTAAGAACAGTACAAAGAATTCCTGTCTCTCTTCGTCCAGAGACCCCATTCATGTTTAGCCAACTGTCCTAATGATGTCCTTGATAGCAAAACCATCAGTTGTGTTTCCTTTAGCAGTTGTGTCTTGTCAGCACCCTTCAATCTGAAACTGTTCCTCAGTCCCTCCTTGAACTGGTTCCAGGCCAATTATTTAGCAGAATATCCCCTCGGTTTAGGTTGGTGCATGGTGTCCTCATAATCAGATCGGGTTTATGCATTTGGATCAAGAATGTCACGGAAGCAGTGGCATGCTGTCTCATCACGTTCCATCAGATGGCACACAGTACCGATATGTTCCATTGCTAATGATGTTAACTTTGATCACTTGGGTAAGATGGTTTCTACAGTTTTCTTCTGTAAAACGACCCCTACTCCCTTTATAGTTAGTAATTATTTTATGGGGAGACAAGTTAAGGGTGATTCTACTATTTCTTCCACTTTTATAAGTTGGTGTTCTATTATGAAGAAGCGCTTTCTCTTCTCCATCTTTATATATTCATTTATGTTAGTGAGGACTTCTAGATTACTATTTTATTTGATGGGGTATAATCTCATACTCTCATTGTTTATTTTTGGTGCTCAAGTTGTCCCATATTTGGCCAATGAAAGCCCCTTTGAGCCAGCTTCTGGTTTTTTTTGTTTGTTTGTTTTTTTGACATTTCCCATCTTTCTTTGAGTACTTCTTTACTTTCTGGTAAAATGTTTGATGAAATCCATCTTATATTTTTCCTGGCCCAGGCTTGGGGTCAACTGTTTCTCCAAGGAATGCTGGTTTAGGTTTTCTCAGCATACAATTCTAAAAAATATGCTTATATCTAAATTTCCTTTTTAAAATCTATCTAGACATATTGAAAATCAGATTTTTGTACCAGTTGCTACAATATCAATCCAACCTGTAGGGTTTATTCAAGCTTTCCCCATTTTTATAACCCAAAGGGTTAGAGAAAATACATTGAGTTTAAATGTAGAAAGAGGACTTATTGAAATGTTTATAACTCTGGTTTTCATCCATTGGAAAAATTTACTCTTTCCTTAAGGCCTTGAGTTATTTTAAGTTTACACAATTCCATCTTTGGTGGGATTTTCATTTTGCCATGTTTATAGGTATGGAAACCCTGAGTTCTTAACATCATCAGGATTACCTAGAAGAAGTTGAGAAGAGGGGCCTTTTGTGTTAAATCCAATTTGAATTACATTCTACTCAGTGTGTAGAGAGCATAGTCATCATTTGAAAAATGCCCACATTTTGCAAACTGGAGTAGGTTTTCTTCCAAAACAAATGACTTCTCTTTGGGATGTTTAATAGAGGGTTACTTCTCAAATGGCCATTTAAGCGGGTTAGTTCAAGCAATTATAAGAAAAATCTGTTTGTAAGGCAGTTCTGAGGCTGTTCCTTGGAGTGCTACCCTGCTGTGCCTACTTATTAGTCATAAACTGGAGCACCTCACATGTCTGGAGCACCTACCATCATGGCTATGTTTTATTGGCCTACTTAGAGAACAAAGCACTTGCCAAATACTAGATTACTATAACTTCATTTTATAGATAAGGAAATTGAGGCTCAAATAATTTTGGTAACTTGCTGATTTGGGCAGAGAAGGTCATCAAAGTACGCAGTCTGGCTCCACTGGCCCCATGCTCAGCCATCACACTAAAATGCCCATAACAAAGCTGTTTAGGAAAAAAACTTTTGACCCCAGGCTTGGGGTCAACTGTTTCTCCAAGGAATGCTGGTTTAGGTTTTCTCAGCATACAATGCTAAAAAATATGCTTATATCTAAATTTCCTTTTTAAAATCTATCTAGACATATTGAAAATCAGATTTTTGTACCAGTTGCTACAATATCAATCAATATTCAATCATCTGAAAAATGACATTCTGCATTATATTAATAGTAGATATACTTTATTATCAAATGAAACAGAAACAACTGCCTAGAAAATTTGGGGAGAAAACCATTTTCCCTGGTCCCTTAGAGTCTACTTCATAGTACACAGGCCATTGAGTCTTTGGGATGGAGGTGGGAGGCAGGGGAAGGATAAAAATATGGAAACACATTGACCTGCTTTGCCCTTCATTTTGCCTTATTTAGAGTTATAGGATTCAAGCACCGGGCACTATATATTTGAACGAAATCTATTGCTCGTTAAAGCTGCCTCCAAAAAGCCAGAGAGATTGACTGTTCCCCTTCTCAGCACACATCACCAAACTAATGGGCTTTACATTCAGTAGCCTGTCACCCTGAAAGTGGTTGATGAGAGAGCCTGACGCATAGTACCTGCTTCCCTCTTCTTCCCCCAAATCTCCCCTCAGAGTGGGTGGGCAGAATGAATAAGCTGCAGAAAGAAGTCTCTAGACCTTGACTCTGAGCTTGATTTGTATTTCAGACTGCTGGGCTGATCGATCTCCACTTCATGAAGCTGCGGCTCAGGGACGCTTACTGGCCCTTAAAACTCTAATCGCACAAGTAAGTGAACTGAAGCCTGGATCCTTTGTGCTTCTGCTGTGATCAGGCATCATTCTTTATTAGCTTTGGCTATAGCAGAGGTCTTGCTCACTTCAGCCATCCCAGCACTGCCATTCTAGGCATATATATCCTCTCGCACCTCACCATTCATTACTTCTGCCTCTCTTTTCCTGGGGAGCTGCCTCATTTTCTGCCCAGTTCCCTCTTTCTCCTTCTGGGCCTTCCTTCGAGTTTCCCTGTGAGGGATCCTGGAGGATGTCCTCAAATTTATGTTGCACCAACTCACCTCAAACTCTTAGCTTGTGCCTTAGCAACAACAGTCTTTTTTTTTTTCTTTTTTTTTTGAGACAGAGTCTCACTCTGTTGCCTGGGCTAGAGTGCCGTGGCATCAGCCTAGCTCACAGCAACCTCAAACTCCTGGGCTCAAGCGATCCTCCTGCCTCAGCCTCCCGAGTTGCTGGGACTACAGGCATGCACAACCATGCCTTGTTAATTTTTTCTATATATTTTTAGTTGGCCAATTAATGTCTTTCTATTTTTAGTAGAGACGGGGTCTCGCTCTTGCTCAGGCTGGTTTCAAACTCCTGACCTTGAGCAATCCTCTTGTCTCGGCCTCCCAGAGTGCTAGGATTACGGGTGTGAGCCACCACGCCCGGCTGCAACAACAGTGTTGAAGTTGCATTAGTCAGCTATCACTGTGTAACAAATTACCTCAAAGCATAGTAGCCATAAACAACAAACACTTCAATTTTCATGGTTTCTCTGGGCCAAGGAGCAGCTTAGCTGGGTGGTTCTAGCTTAGGGTCTCTCACAGGCTGCCAAGTGTCAGTTGAGGCTGCAGTCATCTTGTGGCTTAACTGGCAGGGGATCTGTTTTCAAACTTATTTCTGTGGCTGTTGGCAAACCTCAATTTCTTGCCACATGGGCCTCTCCACAGGGCTGCGTCATGAGATGGCAGCTGGCTTCCCTCAGAGAGAGTGTGAGGGAGTGCCTAAGAGGGAAATCCCAGTTGTTTTATAACCTAATCTCCAGTGACATCCTGTCACTTCTGTCATTTTCTAATTATTAGATGTGAGTCAGTAAGTCCAGCTCACACTGAAGGAGAAGGGATTACACAAGTAAGCCAATACCAGGAATCGGGGATTACTGGGCGCCATCTTAGAGGCCACCCACCCCAATGATACAATATTTTAAGAGTCAGCATTAAAATAGGTTGAAAAATGGGTAAATCTTACTCCTTAGGGAAGATTCATTCAAGTCTTTGTTATGAAGGCTACTTTATTTGTATTTATGACTATATTTCCAGAACCTTGGACAAAAAATGAATACAGGTCCCGTAAATATTTGTTAAGTGAATGAAAGAAAGCACACAAGCTCCATTTGTATTGTTTGTTTTAGAGTCTCCATGTATACAGAGAAGGTGAGTCATTATGTCTTTTTGCCACATCCTAGCAATTACCTAACCTGGTTTCCTTTCCATTTTGAATTTAAACAGCTCAGTGCACTGCTCTGCGAGTGTATGCATGCACATGTGCTCTTAATTTTGTAATTTATTTTTTACTTTCTCTTTTACGAGTTGTGTTACTTCTTAAGAAAGTAGAAGCAAAAGGAAATGACTATTGCTGACAATAATCAAACCTGACAATGATTGTACCTGATTTTATCACTTCTTTGTTTTGAAGCAATTTAAATTTGTTCTGATTTAATTATTTTTAAAATGTAATATGGTCACGTAGTTCAAAAATTAAAATGTTATAAAAAGGTACACAGTGAAAAGTCTTGCATCTACCTCTTCCTTCTCAGCCTCCCACCTCAATACTTTTATTAGTATTTCAAGTAACCTTTTTATTTTGGGATAATTTTAAAGAAGAGTTGCAAACACAGTACAGAGAGTTCCCATATACTCTGTACGCTTCACCCAACTTCTCCTAATGTTGACATACCCATGGTACATTAGTCAAAAAGAAGAAATTAACATTGATGTGGTACTATTAACTAAACTGCATATTGTTGGGATTTCACCAGTTTTTTCCACTAATATCCTTTTTCTGTTTCAGGATCCAATTCAGGATCCCAGTTGCATTGAACACTTATTTATTTATTTATGAATGAATGAATGACCGACTCGCTCTGTTGCCTGGGCTAGAGTGCTATGGTGTCAGCCTAGCTCATTGCAACCTCAAACTCCTGGGATCAAGCAATCCTCCTGCCTCAGCCTCCTGAGTAGCTAGGACTACAGGCATATGCCACCATGCCTGGCTAATTTTTTCTATATATTTTTAGTTGTCTACCTAATTTCTTTCTATTTTTTTTAGTAGAGACGGGGTCTCGCTGTTGCTCAGGCTGGTCTCGAACTCCTGAGCTCAAACGATCTGCCCACCTTGGCCTCCCAGAGTGCTAGGATTACAGGTGTGAGCCACCACGCCTGGCCTGAGCACATATTTATTCTTAACTATATACTTCAGAAACATGTTAGCTTCAGTAGTGTGATCAAATGTGTAAGGAACATTCTTTATAGAAAAGTTCAACCTTTTCTGGTTACATTTCCACTTATTCACCCATATACACTAGTTGAAAATGTATTATTCGGCTTTATTTTTTTTTTTTTACTTTATTCTACGTTTAGATAGCGTGGTAAATGTGAGCAAAACATTAAACCAATGTGAGCAAATTGCTTTAAAACATTAAACCAAGGTTCAGGAACTCTTGTTTATACTGCCAGCTGTCACTGACAGGTGGGGAGCCCCAAGTCTTATAAAGAATTTGAACTTTCTGCTTCTCTATTTTATCATGCACAATTAGGGTGATCCACTGTAGATGGTCTTTCAGGCCTGTCTAGCATTCCAGGGATTCTTAGATTTTTGCACCTTATAATTTTTTTTTTAGCACACTTCTGCCACCTTGTGGACTGATCTGCTTTTCTGTTTTTTTTTTTTGTGTGTGTTTTTTTTTTTGATACAGAGTCTTGCTGTGTTACCCTGGCTAGAGAGCAGTGCTGTTATCATAGCTCACAGCAACCTCAAATTCCTGGGCTCAGGCGATCCTCCTGCCTCAGTTTCCTGAGTAGCTGAGACTATAGGCGTGCACCATGACACCCGGATAATTTTTCTGTGTTTAGTAGAGACAGGGTCTTGGTCTTGCTCAGGCTGGTCTCGAACTTCTGAGCTCAAGGGATCCTCCCACCTCGGCCTCCCAGAGTGCTAGGATTATAGCCATGAGCCACCGTACCCGTCCTGTTTATTTTTTCTTTTTATTGTTCTTCTCATTTTCTTAAAAGGCTTTTCTAACTGTATTAGATGCCCAGTTTGAAATATGTAGCACAACTCTAGAGTAATGATGTCATATTCAGGACATAAAAATAGACAGGACTCAGGAGACATGGAAAGTCCCTATGATGGGACAGACAAATCTCAGCTACTGACCACAGCAGGGATGCAGCCAGCATTATGGAGGTCTGCCAGTAGGCGGTGGGTGTATAGGTTGCAGTTTAGGATTCAGAGTCATGGCACCAGGTTTTGGAAGCTTTCAGCAGATCAGTTACAAGGCAGGACCCGGCTGGGAAGGACAGACCAGGGGTCCTTTTACAAATAGAAAGTGATAATCATGGGAGGGAAACATAAGAGCCAAGTTATCAAAATCAGTGCATGAAGTCAGAGTCGTCCAGCAGCTAGGCTGACCTTGTCGTCTGTCACATGGACTCCAGGACGAGGAGGGCAGAGCACGGCAGTGTGGGGAGGAGAAATGTGTTAGGACAGGGCAGAGACACTCATAGCTCGGTGAGGAAATGAAGGTTAGGAGAAGCCCTAACCCTGGCCCCAGATACTGAGACTTCAGAGACCTCTGTGTGCAGTGAAGGCGTGGCCAAAGCAGTGCTGCTACTATACAGCGCGATAAAGGAGTGCTGGCTACTTACTTTCTACTCTTAAGCCTGAGGGCCCCCCTCTCTTCTAGATCCAGTTCTACTTCTTGAACATCCATGCAGTCCATCACCTACCCCTCATAGCCACCGCTGTTTACACCCACCATGGTTCTTCTTGCTTCAGTCTTGCAACTTTATTCCTGCAATCAACCCTCCATGCTACCAGTGGACTTCTCCTAAAACAGCTAATCCATTAGCTCCAGACTTTCTATAGCCTAACAGACTTCATAGGTGCCTCATTCCCTCTAAGACACTCACTCCCTGCTTGGAAATCAAGGCCTTTTGTGATCTGGATCCAGCCACACTTCCTGTTACTTTAGGCATTTGCATCTTGTGTTCTTTCTTAATGGCAGATCCTTTCTTTGCTTTCCTAGCTTCAAACTTTTTATGCTTCAAGCCTTTGCTAAAATACTACCTCATTTGCCAGGTTTTTTTTTTTTTTAACTCCTTAAGCCAGATTCGAGGATATTCCATCTCCCAAATAAAGTTTGAACATGCTTCCAGGATAGCAATATTCTTGCTCTTTTGGTTTTCATTTCTGCCTCCCCATAGGCTCTGGAAGGAGAGAGACCCATGTCCTAAGTTTTGAAGAACCAGGCCCTAGCACATTTCCTAGCTCAGAATGCTGAACAAGCATTTGCTGAGTAAATGAATGTGAGGTTCCCACACTGTGTTTAGACTCCTTCGGTCATAACCTCTACTTTTCTCTATATGGTGCTAATATTACATACACAGACCGTGAACACTTCAGAAACATGTTGAACAGCATTGCTTTCATGGCTATCGGTAACGAAGCATTTAACTCTCTTCTCTCCAAATGATAGGGTGTCAATGTGAACCTGGTGACAATTAACCGGGTCTCTTCTCTCCACGAGGCGTGCCTTGGAGGTCACGTGGCCTGTGCTAAAGCCTTATTGGAAAATGGTGCACATGTGAGTACTGCCACTGCCCATGTGGTTCTGTCTGCACAGCTGTGTCTACTAACATCTTAAGAGACTTCCAGCCTGCTTACTCACTGTGGGTAGGGGGTGGGCTGGTCCCATCCACGCACATATCTATCATTCAGGTTTGCTGCTTTTTTTTTTTTTTTGAGATTCAAAACCAAGATTTTATTATGGATAATTATACAAATGTCTACCATATATTGGTTGACTAGGGCAGTTACAATGCTTAGGAGTTTCCTTACAAAGGCCCTTCGGAGATGTATTGTTACCATCATTTTATTTATTTATTTATTTTTAATTTCAGCATATTATGGGGGTACAAATTTTAAGGTTTCAAATAATACCTTTCCCCCCCCTCCCCCCACAAGTCTGAGCTTCAAACGTGACCATCCCTCAGACGGTGCACGTCTCACTCATTATGTATGTATATACCCGGCCCCCCTCTCCCCTCCCACCCGCCCAATACCCAATTAATGTAGTTCCTATGTGTCCACTTAGGTGCTGCTCAGTTAATACCAGTTTGCTGGTGAGTATATGTGGTGCTTGTTTTTCCATTCTTGGAGTTTTCCATACTCCATATGGAAAATACTGGATACTTATTTCAATACCTTAAACCAACAATTATTTTTATTGAGCAAAATTATCAAAATAAATGATCTTTTAATAAATAATACACTGGAAAAAACCCACAAAATTAAAATTTATCTTATTTTGAACTTATATCCTCACTTTTTCCAAAGAGTGACTGAGGTGCTATATATAATATAAACATCAGAACAGAATTATAAAATTACAACTTCTGAAAAAAAAAATCTCAATGGCACCTGCATTTAGTTACCAGGTGTTGTTTTCTTGCTAATTTTGTTGTTTAACTCAGTCCTTGCTGTCTTCATTTTATGAACTGCAGTGTTTTTAAGTGCTTAAATATAATTTTCTTTGTGTTTTATAGAAAAGTTAGGTTTCTATGTGTAGAACTAATATAAAGGCTTTTTTTGCAAAAGTAATTCTTCTGATGCCATCATGCCCAGGCATTTCCATTAGGCAGTGCTTCTTTAAGTTACCACTTAGTCAGCTAAGGGGTGATGATGAGGGCGAGGCTTTGTGAGGGCCATTTCCTTTCAAGCTAAATGACTGGAGTCCCAGGCAGACTGCTGGCAGGAAATGATAAACAATCTCAGGTCAGAGAGATTTTGTGAGGGACAAAGAGAAAAATAAGTCATAGTTTCTTGTCTTTGTCAGTTTTATAAGGGAACAGCCAATAAATACTTTATCATACCATTTAACATTTAAATCAGAATGAGAAAAGGAATAAGAGAAAGATAGTCAGTCAGTAGAGCCCCCTCATAACTGGAGGTTTCAGGATCACCACAAACTCAATGCAAATAGTGCTTAGCATGTTCTTCCCTCTGGGACCTGCTTCTCATCTTAGGTTCCCAATTTTAGAGACCAGGTAAAACATCCTCCTGGTCTCCCAAGTTCCAAACCTGGAAGTCATCCTATTTCCTCCATTTCCCCATCTAGTTCATCACAAAATCCTGCTAATTTTACTTCCTACATATTTCTCTATCCTTTCCTTTGTTCTGCTTCCATAGTGATCTAAAGCATTCATTATTATATCAAAATGATCTCTTCCTGTTTGTCTTCCCTAATAGAATTCAACCTATCCAAGGAGAGGCAATTGTCTTACTATTGTTTCCAAAACATTGGCATCTAGTAGGTGCTCCATGTACGTTTGCTGACATGAACTAAGAGAGAAACATAAGAAATCACATAAGATGACGACTTTCTAGACTGAGGATGAGGATAATATGTAGTAAAACACGAATTAAACTGGTTCTACCAAATATTTTTAGTAAAAACGTAAGTAGGATAGAAATCCCTAGTGTACGGATTTACACACATTTTCCCCATCTGTCTGTTTCTGCCATCTTAGCATCTTATCTTTAACTTTCTAAACTAATGGGAGTTATATTGGAACCATGGAGACAAATCATTTTTGTTTCTGAAGCAAGGTAATTTATTAGAGTCCTGATTATCACACACATCTTCCATTAGTTGTTGAGGCAAAATGGTTTGACATCAAACCCCCATTATCCTACATTTCAGTCATATCGGAGCCTTTCCACCAGAATGCCATGATCCTAGATGTTCTTTCCAATCTGTTGTTAATACTCAAAGATGTCTCCTAGCCCTGATGGTTCTCACATGTCTCCCACATCCCTAGAAGTTACTGAGGATGGTTGGAGACACTATATTGATGCCTATTTTCTACGTGCCTTTGGCTTGGCCATCATATCTTTAGGAGTGACAGCTGGCATGTATAATTGGTATGGATTACAGTGGATTAGAGAGGAGAATTAGGGCAAGAAAGATAGTGGAACTATGGGGAATTGCCGAGGAGATTTTTTGCAAACATAGATTTGGGGACCATAAGCTAGCTGATTTCTCTAGTACTTTTGGTTCCTGCCATGTTTGCACATGATTGGGAGGGGTAGTCACGTCTTATTAGTGGAAAATGGAAATAGATGTTGTTGCAAATGTTTATTTAGTGCTTACTGGGTACCAGGCAATGTTTTAAGTGTTTACCATATAGTAACTCACTTGATCCACCCCAAAACCACATGAGGTTTCATACTATTACTGTAAATGAGTTCCCTTGCTCATTCACCAGCATGGTAAATTTCTCCAGGCAGATACATAGGAGTACGCACTTGGAGATGGTGAGAATGAAACAGCAAATCCTCTGGGTCTCTTTTTGCCCATCATTAGGTCAATGGAGTGACGGTTCACGGAGCCACGCCCCTCTTCAATGCTTGCTGTAGTGGCAGTGCTGCGTGTGTCAATGTACTGCTGGAGTTTGGAGCCCAGGCCCAGCTCGAGGTGCACCTGGCTTCACCCATCCATGAGGCAGTGAAGAGAGGTAAACAAGCCACCACAATGCACACAAAACACTGATGAGCCAGTCTGCATCAATCAATGGTCTAGTGTTAGTTATGCAACGGTTGCCTGGATCTTCCTCACTAATAAAATATGTGTGGCTTAGAAATCCCACAGTAGTAACTTGAACTTGTAAATCTTTAGGAAGTACCACTGTGGCATGAAACAGATCTTCTTATAACCTGAGAATGTCTTACTGTCTCAGACGTCCCATTTCCTGGGGACAGTTTCTTAGCAGACCTTTCCCGAGCCCCTTTGCTGGTGTTTTATTGGCAGCTTGTGCAGCCAAGATAGCAGTTGTGATTTCCATGAATTGTGCTGTGCTTATGTCTCTGTCCTTAGTAGACAAGAACAGTTCATCCCCCAAAGCCCATAAAACACCAACCACTAAGCTAAAATAAATTATGAAAGTGTCTAAAAGCCAAGGCTGATACTATCTCTAATGGAACAGTAAATGTAATTGTCCACAACAAGTAATACACTCTAAATGTACTGATGACTTCAAGGTCATAGTTTTTGAAAACAATAAGTTGCAACTTTACAGAACATGGCATTGGAAATCTTGAAGTTGACCTAGACTCTTGTATTGTCAGTTACTTTTGAAATGAGGGGAAACAGTAAATTTAAGGAATTTTTTTTTTTTCTTTTTTTTTTTATCAACTATTTTGTAAATGCAGAAATTTAAGGAATTTAAAAACTATAGGCGCAGATTAGACATGAACAAGAAGATGCCATTGAAAGAACAAGGGCATTTGTCCAAGGTCACACCTGAAGAGCAATATTTTGGTGATTCCCAGTGGTGGAGTTATTCTCTTATATCAAAATCAGATACAATGGAGAAGTTAAAACACTCTAGAATAGTTATCTTTGCTGGTGTCATTGGGGATGAAAGTTTTTATTTCAAAAGGGAACAATGAAAGATTTGCCCTAGGTTACTAAACATGTCACTTGGTAATTTTTTTTCTAGTGGATTACTTTAAATGATACAAAAGACTCAAATCTCAGTGTATCTATGTCTTCAATGTCCTAAATGTATTTAATAAGTATTTATTGATATTAGTCATTTCCCAAACATCAAGTAAGTCCTTTAAATTGTAATGAGCTATTTTGGAAATGACATGAAAGTCTTTTAAAAAAATTTTAATATTGATTTGGTGTAAAACTTAATGTTATTTGTATTTCTATCCAAATGTTTAAATATGGATAAATGCTGGGAATGGTTTGAATTACTTAGGTAATTCTGCAGTGCTTGGCTGATTATATATGGATGTTTGGTTTCTATGTGCCTGTAAAACATATATATGCTTATCATAAACATAGAATTCATGTGTCTCTATTTTTTTTCTGTATTATAAAAGCATGCTAAGGATCAACATCCACAGAATGGAAAAATTATTAGCAAATTCATTAGTTTATATACTGTTACATTAATGCTAATCATTTAACTTTATATATTCATTTTTTGGAACTGCCTTTTATTAGGTTATTAAATATGACATGTCTGATTCCCTTAAGTGCTAAGTTTGACAGTTGATATCTCTGACATTTCACTTTGACACTTCTTGTTTTATTTGTGAAGGTACACTCAGTCTTTCAAATGCATGGTTTGGCTTGTGATTATCTTCACTTTTTTTAGAGCAATTTTTGTGAAACTATGGTTAAGTAAAAAATTTGTGTTATTTTCAAATATGAGTTCTGCTGTGGAACCAATGCAGTGCAGACAGCTAGAAATATCAATGAAGTGTTTGAGAAGGACGTGGCTAATGAACACACAATATATAGATGGTTTGAGAAGTTCTGTTCTGGTGATTTTAATCTTGAAAATGAGCCACATGGGCGACCTGAGACCAAGGTGGATAATGATGAGCTGAAAGCTCTAACGGAAATGAATTCATCTCAACCTAGGCATGAATTAGCAGCAAGGTTTGACATTACTATTCCAACAATATTGGACCACTTGAAACAAATCAGCAAGGTAAAGAAGCTGGATGGGTACCACATGAATTAAACGAGCATCGGCAGAGAAATTGTCTCAAAGCTTCCCTTTCTTTGCTGTAATGACATAAAGGTGAACCATTTCTACACTATATGGATGTGTGATGAAACATGGATTCTTTTTGACAATCACAAGTGTTCAGCACAATGGTTGGATAAAGATGAAGTGCTGAAACATGATCTATAACCGAATATTCATCAACAAAAGCTAATAGTGTCTGTTTGGTGGTCCAGCACTGTTATTATCCACTACAGCTTCATGAAATCTGGTCAATTAATGGCAGTGCATATCTACTGCAAGCAATTGGAGGAAATAATGAGGAGGTTTGCAATTAGGCAGCCGAGATTGGTCAAAAGACATAGGCCAATCCTCTTGCAAGACAGTGTTGGACCTCATGTCACACAAACAATGCTGCTCCAACTATAGAAACTGAACTTGGAAACTCTGTCATCCACCATATTCACCAGACCTTGCACCAACTGACTACCACTTCTTCCAGGCTTTGGACCACTTCTTGCAAGAAAAAAATATTAAATTCTCAACAAGCTGTGGAAAACACCTTTTGTGATTTCATCGCCACTCTCTCTCCAGGCTTCTTCACTGACTGCCCCACATCCAAGCTGGGCCCCGGAGGGCCGTGGCCCAACCACGGCCGCAGCAACCCTCCAGCCCAAGCGGCTGAGGTCTGCTAGGGCCCAACTGCGCCCATCTGGGCCGAGCCTGTCCCCAGCTTCCTGGACTGTCCCAGCCCACAGTTCCATTGGGTGCAAGGGCCCCCTATATATTCATTTTTAAAACTTCCTGAGAATATTTGACTCGAACTAGGCTCAATTACTTGTTCTTCAAAAAGAAAGACAAGAATTATGCAAAAATACTTATTAGATACTTGATATTTGTCAAGCAATTTTAGATACTAACTAGGTATTATTTCTGGATTCTTAGAGCTTTAAACCTCTGTGAACAGGCTGAGTCATAGTCTGAGTCAATACCTTGACATATAATGCTATAATCCAAGTTTAATATTTACTTATGTGAACAAATAATTTGAATTCACAGACTCTTAGCTTGTATATTTTAATACCTATTTGTACTCAATCCAGAATTTGTGATAAATCAGGCAGGTCTCGGATGAAGCTTGCTTTTAGGTTATCTATAAAGAAGAGGTTGGTAAATTAATTAGTGATGATAAGATTTTTTTAGGGAAACATTTAAAACTTCAAAGAGAACTAACTCTTTGCAAGCTCCCATCAAGCATTCCCTCCTGAACAAAGCATTAATATGCTGCAAATTAATCATGTCTATCTCTTCATTGGGCAAACTCTCGAAGGAGAATGCTTGCTTACATAAGTTCTTGTTAGCGACTGAATTTGAAAGTGTATTTAAATATGTTCTATACTTGAGACTTTTTATTCATTCTCATAGGTGTCTTTCAGGCTGACCAAAATAAGGTTGCAGGCCATACATCCAATCTCACATGCATGGGTGAAGAAGAGGATGAGAGATTTGTAATGGAGAGGGGACAGGGTTCCTTTGGGTGTCAGCACTGGCTTTTCAGAGTAGTAATAGGGTCAGTCATTTACCCTTGCGATCTCATCACTTCCATTTGTAAAAAGGTGGCTTCATTCCAGAGAGTGATTTCAACTGTGCTCCTTGAAGCCCTCAGTTTAGTTGGTGTTACCTCAGGGGCTGCAAGCAGGAATATGGGTTGGGGAACATGCTCCTCTTTAGATTGGTTTTATTGTGGGAGTTTCTACCTAAGATTGCCAAAACAAAGATTTTTTTTCCTACTACAAAAGGAGTTCTAGGTTATTTGTAAAACCCATTTCAGAGAACCGATCCTAGAATTCTGTGAATATTCAATATGTCCCTTACTTGAGTGAGGTGATCTTGTGTTCCACCAGGTCACAGAGAGTGCATGGAGATTCTGCTGGCAAATAATGTTAACATTGACCAAGAGGTGCCTCAGCTCGGAACCCCCCTGTATGTGGCCTGCACCTACCAGAGGGTAGACTGTGTGAAGAAACTTCTGGAATTAGGTAATTTCCAGATCCAGAAATCTTTTCCTGAAAAGAATCTGTTAACATTGTTGGTTTTCTACAACTTCAAAGATAAAATTCTTGTCAGTCTGGAAAAAATTCTGATAGCATATGATGTTGGAATGCTAAAAGCAGAAGTTCTCCAGAGAAACAAATGTCTATATTTCGCAGTTCTGCTTCTTTTGATGTTGGCTCCATTTACCTGGTATTGTTCTCCCTGGTGGTCTCAAGATGGCTGCCAGCAACACCTGGGTTTATAGCCCTCCTCATCCATACACAGTAAGAAAAGAGCATTGGCTGTTTGTGAGTCACATGCCCATCTCTGAACCACATCATGTTGGCTGAGGGAATACAATAGGGTGATGGGTTTAGGCCTAGATTTCAGCCTACTCTACAGTTATTAGGCTTCACTGGAAATAGGAACTGGGAATTGCAAGAGGGTGGTTCCCTGGAGGGAAATTGAGGTGTGGTTACCAGGAAGATGCTGGACAGTAAAAACAACAGCCATTTGCCACAGACTATTTTACATCTATCCTGCTAAGTTATTTGGTCATTTTTTTAAAAATTCTAAAAGGCATACATAGAAACTGAGAGTCCAGGGAAAAGCAAAATATCTTGAAACTCTTATTTGGTTAAAGATTCAACGGAGTTAGCCCCTGACTAAAAAAAAAAAAAAAAAATGGAGGTTGTAGTAAGAAAATTTAGTTGAGAATTTTTATCTTCAAGAAGTTTTTTGTCTTTTTCATTCCTCATTATTTATTATTCTCTATAGTAAGTTCAGAAATCTTTTTTTTTCTTGAGTCCCAGATAATATAAATACTAAATAAATTTAGATTTATCTTTTGCCAAAAAACATAACTACGTAATAGGGGTCTCAAATATTTTATTTTGTATGTCACACTGTTTGTATAAAAAAGCAAGTAAAGCACTTAAATATGAAGAAAAATATTTAAACTCATTTTTCTCATTAAAATATTTTAAAATGAGGCCGGGCGCGGTGGCTCACGCTTGTAATCCTAGCACTCTGGGAGGCCGAGGCGGGCGGATTGCTCAAAGTCAGGAGTTCAAAACCAGCCTGAGCGAGACGTGTCTTTCAAATTTTGATATGAGCATTTGAGAAGCTCACTTTTCCTCTGGCATCTATAGTTGCTGTTAATGCCCATGGTGGAATTGGAACTGCGCAATGAGAAGGCGAACCCACCTACTCCCATTCTGGAGAACAGGCAAATAACCTCACTATTTAGTGGTGTTTTGAAATACATACCCTATGTCCCTTCACCTCCTCTAACACAAGTCTTTCGAATTTGCACTTGGATTGCCTCCGATATTACAAAGCAGAGTTTAAGTTTGTTCAATCGTGTGCTTATGCCAGATAGATGTGGCAGTTCAACATTTTCACGGTAAAAAACAAGCCTTGCTGGTTATTTCCTTGTTATGGAAAATACAAGGCAACACTCGGTTGTATGTAAATGCCTTTGGTTATAAGTGAAACTTAAAACCACAACATGTAAATCCCTGAGGTCATGTCAATGATGGCAAGCCTTGCCACTCCCACTATGCCACCGTCAATTAAAAAGAAAAGAAAAGGACAAAATGCTAGGGATGAGACAGGAGGGAGAGATAGTGTGTTTATGGAAGGGGATAAGACACCCAGCCCTTGGTTACTTCACAGAGCAGAAGTGCCTGCTCCACACTGCTTTTTGGAGCCGCCAGATCAAGTGCACGTTTGCCTGAGCATTTCTGAGCTTCAGGTTAGCCCATAGTCGTGTCAGCAGGTGGATGACTCCACGCTGGACTGCCTCGCTGCGGCGTGAGGGGTGTCCAGCCATTGGCCGTGATCAATCTGGCTCCTTAAAAAGCATGGCCACATTTCAACATGGAATGTTAATGTAAACACGAAGAGCCACAAACGTGCATGCTATGATATATTTGACAAATCTTTGAAAATATGACTTAAGCCTAGAACTCTGCAATGCCTACTAAGACCATTTTAAATATATTATATATATATATATTTTTTGAGACAGAGTCTTGCTTTGTTTGCTCAGGCTAGAGTGAGTGCCGTGGCGTCAGCCTAGCTCACAGCAACCTCAAACTCCTGGGCTTAAGCAATCCTACTGCCTCAGCCTCCCGAGTAGCTGGACTACAGGCACGTGCCACCATGCCCGGCTATTTTTATATATATATAGTTGGCCAATTAATTTCTTTCTATTTTTTTTTATAGTAGAGACAGGG